ACAACCCTATCTGAGATCACTTGCGGCGACTATAAAGTATCTATGTATTTCATGGCCCTATTGTTCACTTGGGTTGAGTTTAAAATATGGGCCATCTTATTTCTTTGTGATCAGACATTTTGGGTACAACCGTTATGAACTAATTATTTATATTTTATAAGTAACTGATAATATGATATTCCGTAATGAACCATGATATTTTGTAATGAAAAATAATTATCTCAATATAAAACATCATAACATAAAAGTGTTTAGTTAATCATGATTATCATTCAAACGAAAAACAGTGTTACAAAAATCCAAGTTTCGGTATATACACTAACAAATATGAACAACAACCAACAGTCACTGACATCCTATTTTTTGGGGAGGATATAAAGAATAAAAACTCACCGTCTTTTTTTTTTTTGAAAAAAAAACTTCGCCTCAGGCATCGGGAGATATTACAGATAGTGACAATCTTCGTTCACCGAAAATAGGCTAGTTGGGAGTCTTTCGGAGATGGTCAAACAAGTTTCTCTGTTGGGAGTTGATTGCTTTTGTCCTTCGCTGATGTTCATTGGGCCCGTGTGTCGCGGCAATTCATTACGTCGATCTTTTGCCGACGTTTATCGCGTCTGTCTGTCTGCCGACGTAGGTCGCGCCCGCCTCTTCATCATGTCCGTCTTTCGCCGAAATTTGTCGGACATCACCTAAAAAAATTGAGAAAAAAAAAATTGCAGGAAAAATGGAAGAAGAGAGAAGAAAGTGAGAAATGATAAAAATAAATATATGAAGGAGAATAAAATTTTGTGATGTGACATTGACGAAATGATTTTTACCAGTTTTGTTATGGAATCATCAGATGACACGACTTATAGAGTCATTCACACTTATTCACAAATAATGTATTGACATGTGTACTACACTAAATAACTTCGCACACGTGTCAATACATTAAGTGATATATGACTCATAAGAAAACCATTCGAGGACTCCATAAAATTTTTGTGATTTTTACAATTGTTTTAATTGTGAGAAAGTTAAGTGGAATGAATTTTGTTGAGTAGATAGTGCTTAAACTTTTTCTGATTGTTGATTGTAAGTGAAAATAAATCAGGGTTAAGGAATTTAAAAGGTAAAAGCCATATTATTGATTTCCATCCGTTTGTGACTTACAGAAATTTATGGAGCCATCGGATAGCACTCTTATAGAGTCATCTACAAATTTATGTACTGCATATGTCTAATGTGCATTTATTGCAGGACACGTGTTAATACATTATTTTTGAATAATTATGTATGACTCCATAAGTTGAGCATCCGATGGCTCCACAACAAAAATTATTAATATTAAGTACGTGACCAGTGTTTGTTTAGTGATTTGCATCCCCTACAATAATTAGCGCTGCAAACGAGTCGAGCGGCTCACGAGCTGCTCGCGAGCGCTCGAGTCAAAGCTCGACTCGGGCTCGAGTTTGACCGAACTCGAGTCGAGCTCGAGCGGCTCGAACACGAACTCGAGTCGTGTTCGAGCCCATATTTTGGCTCGTCGAGCGACTCGAAATACAGTTAAATTACTAAAATACCCCTTATTATTAGCATAAGTGTTTAATGGTAATTTTACTTTTCCACTTAAAAATTTTAAAGTCGAACTCGAGCCGAGTTCGAGCTATTGTAATTTTTTATCGAGTCGAGCTCGAGCCTAAAAAATTGAGCTCGAGCTCGAGCAGCTAAAAAAAACTCAACCCTACTCAATAAGACCAATGCTCGACTCGACTTGGCTCGTTTGCAGCCCTACTCTACATACAATAATAACCCTAAAAATTATACTTTTGTTAAATGAAAAAAAAAAATCGTTAAATAAAAAAAAAATGTAATATTTGCAATGATATTATTGTAATAATTCCTAATAATGAATACTGTATATAATGTAACGGCTTACTCTTTAAGCTACACACACACAACTCAGTCCTCTCTTCCCGCTCCCCAGTCCCCACCCATGCCGTTTGCTTGGAGCAATAAACAAACCCCAAAAATTGAAAAATATAGAAAAAAAAAGTACAAAAATTACTTCAGAATTCAAAAGGTTGAGGTTCCTCACAGGTCATCATCTTCAATTTCATTTCAGTTTTTGTAGACAATGAATTCCGTTCTTCGTTCGTGATTTGTGTTCAAATGTTCGCCTGAATCCATGGCGGTTTAGTTCATACTATTTGTTTCATTCATTTCTTCATTTTTTTTTTTTTTCTGTATTAA